AAAAATGTAATTACATAACTGACTTTTCCAAAAGCAGCTTTACATTTTTCTGACTGTTTTGTGCAAACTGTCCATCTGTTTCATGTATTTGTGTTTCAGACAGCTCGTTCCCGTCAGTAATTGTCGTGTTGATCGCTCTGCTGGTGTTGTTGGGATTGATTGTTTTGATTGTGGCGTACATATTTTACAAGAGGAGGCACGGCTCAGGTAAAGAACTGCTTTTAAACCTTCTGGCTGCACGTTTCAAACCACTGCTCACAAACACAGTCCTGTATAACTCCATGTTTAGGGCCAGTTTATGAAGACGTGGGGCTGAAGTTACACGGTGACGCCAAAGAGTCCGAAAATGACACCATCCAAGAGGGAGCAGTGGGCAGCAGAGAGAGGAGAGGTGGAGAATATGAAGAGCTGAAGAGAGAGGAAATGGAAGAAGCAGAGTATCACACTCTGAGGATGGAGGGATCATCAGGAGGAGAGGTGAGGTATCAGGAGCTGAAGATGGGGCAAAGGAAGGAGGACGTGTACCACACTTTGGGAGAGCAAGTTGCAGCGGGGGGAGACGACGGGTATGAAGCTTTAAAGAAAGAGGAAATACAGAAAGGAGAATATGAAACACTGGAAACCAATGAGGCAGGGGGGAGGCCGGATGGAGACATGGACTGGGTGGAGGAAATAGATGAAAACAAAAACAAGTGAGGCATTAAAATAAACAAGTCTCAGTAGCTCATTTGATAAAAATGAGTCTTTCATGCTCAAATTTCTATTTGATTATTATATATATATATATAATAACATAACATATCTCACTATTATTATTAAAGGCTACTAAAGTTAAAAAGTATTTAGTTTGTCACATTAACAGTAAAAGATCAGCACAATTAAAATATTCAGTGCAAATAAATACGTCTTTAATCTGCACAGTCGTCAACTTGTTCTGTTTGAACACGCCGTCGCTGGCACGCCCAGTGGGGGTGATCCCAGTGTGTCATTTCAAAACCATTTTCACCTTTGTTTACACTCACAGCATTAAAGTTTTAGCATCTGTTTTACTAAGATATTAGCATAAAACTTTTAAAAAATACATCTGACTTGTGCTGGAACAATATCATTTATGTATTGTTTGTATTTTTGCCTGTTTTGCTTTGATTTAATGCAAGTTTTTAGAAGAATATATCTTGAAAAATTATTTCGTCATAAGATCTTTATTTTGTTATGCATGTATGCCAATAAAATAAAAGTTAAAGATCGTCTGGCTTTATCAAATGTGTTCTCATGGTGTAAATCTTGCAGTCAGATGTTGTATGGTGAAGGTTGAAACCATGTGTTATTTTTCTATACAGTAGTCTCTCGCTACTTAGCGGTTCAACTTTCGCAGAATTGCACTTTGGTGGTTTTTCAAAGTAAGATTGGACATGACACACAATTGGCTGATTGATGGACGAGCTGCACGATCGGCATGAATTGTTTATTTAAAATAAATTATTTAAAAATGTTTAGCACCTGTGCACAGCCCACAGGTGCAGGGAGAAGCTCCCTCCTGCAGCCTGTCATGATCAACACTCTCTGCCACCTGCCTCTGCCACGCCCACATTTCTCCTCTGGCTGCAGCTGCTCCGTGAAGAGTTAACCCTTTGTTGTCCAGCAGCACCGATCGACTTTTTCTTCCAACTTAAAATTCAAAGTATGTCACATCGTAAAATCATCACAATCACAAAATATAAAAGTGTTAAAAGTTATTATTAATTATTTTAGAACTTCCATGTTCAGCTGTTGAAGTGTAATTGATCAAGAAGTACATTTCTGCTCTGTGCTGCATCTGCTGCGTGAAAGGTTAACTCTTTACTGTCCTGCTGCACTTCTCTTCTCTACAATTTAAATTTCAATACCGTAATATTTTAAATA